AAACGATATCGATTTGCCGATAAAACCGTTATTTTGCCGAAAAGACGTTTTCACGGGGTGTCACACCCGCACACCCACCTTTAGGTACGGCCCTGGTTCTTCCCACATGATATGATACTGTGTACGTACCCAAATTAAACATGTGCATAGTACTTGTAAAGCACTAATAAAAATATTTCATTCTGCAGATTTTTCGTTAGAAAATCACATTATTGAAATCATTGAGGTCAGTCACTTAGCATTTTGTACAACTGCTTGTTTGGATAATGTACAATGCCAATCATATAACTTCCAAGAAACGGAGAATGTTGTCAAATCATGTGAACTCAGTTCTTCGAATGCAACTGCTTCAAATACAGATCTTATATCTCGACAAGGATATTCTTATTACGATGCTGAGGTAATTAATTTCAGGCTTTAATTTAAAGGCCTGTTTTTTAATTATTTATTTGATTGGTATTGTAGACGGAAATCGTCGAGTGGAAATTTATATACATTTATTTAAAAAGACCTAACCAGGAACTGAAGCCATGCAACTAGGTCGTTGGCAAGAATTAAAACTGCGGCCCTGCAAGTCCGATGCAGCGCTCTAACCAACTGAGCGTCAGAGGCCAGTTATCGAGCTCTAACGACAAGTTCGTGTATGCATGGTATCTGTTACTGTTGGTCCTGAAAAAAATAGTGTGGCGGTAGTTCCATTACAGTTTTGATCTAGTTAAATTCTTTGCATGATGAAATATGGTGGTAAACTTTAGAACTGTTGATAGTTGAGTGTTCCTTTATCCTAATGAGTAATGTATACTGAAACAGCAATCTATCTATCCGATGCAACATGCCTTTTAGCCTGGAGATGTAAATTCACAGACGACCGAGAACTTCGGAATTTTGGGGGATTAGAGTCAATTGTTTTCCAGTTTATACTGAATGTACATGAAAATGACCAGGTTCTAAATCGCTGGCGAAATCACTGTAGCCAATAAGGGACCGGGAGGGGGGAGGGCAGTTTGTGATAAATACCAAATATTGAACATTTTTTTGGAACCACCACCAATTTCAAGATCTTTATTTTCAAGACGCCCCCAGCTTCATCTAGAAATTTAGGACACACCCCCCCAACATTTAATTCGTTACATTTTTTTATGAAAAATAAGTAATGGGACAAGTACAGGGGACCGGTATTCAAAATGGTTTTTATTTACTCCGACTTCTATGGCGAACTGCATATACGTAATAAAGTACGGAAACTACGATTACAGGAACTAAAAAAGGTTCAAATATTTCGAAAATGAGTAGGAAAATATTAAAAAATTGGGGTCGCCCCTTGTCACATATTTTTCAGTTTGAGGCCGCCCCCAATTCGGGCAAAAATAGTTGAAGCCGCCCACCTTTTCGCACCCACCGATCACCCTCTCGTTATTAATGACTGGTCCCTCGTGAAAAAAGCTTTTCTCTTCGCATAGGATGATGCCATGTACTGTGATTGTCTTAACGGAGGAACTTGTATTCATACCTGTTCAGGAACTGCTTGCCGTTGTCCTAAGAACACATACTTTCCTCGTTTTCAAGGGGATTTATGTGAATATCCATGTAAGTACTGACATCAGTTACTTAAAGAATTAATCAGTTATTTGGCAGCGCATTTTATAGCACCTTTTCCACTAGGCGAATTTGTTGGCGCGAAGCGAAGAACAACTTTCAGCAATGTGATCGGTTAGCGAAAAAAATCTCCACAAAAAAGCTGGACTAATTCCTATTAACATTTTTAATTCTCGCTCCGGGCTAACAATTTCGCCTAGTAGTTAGGAAAACGAGCTTAACTAAATTAAGGCACACCGTATTTACTCGATTGAGCGCCGACCCCAATTGAGCGCCGCCTCCGAATGAGCGCCGCATTTGAGATCAATTTTTTTTTAAAAGCGCCGCTCCCCGAATGAACGCCGCACTAAACAGTGTAAAAACTTTCAGTCGTCAAAATGGGCACATTTAGTGACAAAGAAGTGACATTTAAAACTTGTTTATTTTATTGTTAAAAGTTATTGTTATAATTCACAAATAAAAGATTTTTGCCGCCCCCGAATGAGCATGAGCGCCGCATCTGAAGCTCTGGAAATTTAAAGAGCCGCTGCGGCGCTCAAAAGAGTAAATACGCTAGGCTCTTACTTATCTGGCTTTGGCAGGTTTGTCTATTTTGATCTAGCTTTGGTAAGTATGACGTAATGTTTCTGATGTTACTCTGAGTGTGTATCCACACCAGGCTAGCTGACTGAAAAGTTTGCCTAACCACGGTGCATGGGAATCGAATCCACGACTTGTGGGTTACTAGTCCAATGCTCTGCCAACTGAGCTACGAGGTCAAGTCTCTTCGAGTGTCTGGTATTCGGAACTAAATCTAGTACTTCGATACCAATGCCGTAATTCTTATGATCATGATATTTTTGTGTGTTTTGATGTTATGTACTCAGTATAATATCCCAAAGGTCGCCGGTCTAGTCCGTAAATTGTGACCCGATATCGTTCACTTTCATTTAGCATGTCTTAGATCTGAAATATTTTGACGGGAACTAACACTTTCAAGCACGCTGAGTTCAAAATCTTGTCTACAACTTTGAGAAAGTACAGATAATACTTTCTAAAATCCTCAGTTCAAGAGATATCTCCATAAAATCACAAGGACATTAATGCGAAGTCTTTTGGATATGTCACTGGCCTGAAAAATAGCCTAACTCTTTTAACGCGATCAGGGTATTTAAAACAAACGTAACGCACAGGGGGCTGAGGAACTGACCTTGTTATTTAAAAAATAAATTATTTGCAGCATAACAAAGGCATAAATATCATTAAATAACTACTATATATTATATTGGTTGAAGTTAAATTAAGTAATATAACTTGCACGTTGACCGCATGCCAAATTACTGCGGGCGCGCACGCTTACGCTAGATTGTTTACAAGCTAAATATAATGAAAGGGACGAAACTTCCAAATTTAGAATTCGGATATCATTTTCGAAACATCATACAGAAATACACCATATTATGCATACGACATAGAAAGGATATAGTCTCAATATTTAACGAAAGACATCTGGGGAAAATAGTAGTTAAACCTACGAATATAACGAATAAAATGCTGGTATATATTTCGCTATTTTCGTATGATGTGCACCGCAACAACTAGTGACGGAAGTGACGAAGAGTTGAATTGCGCAAGACAGGAAGTGGTTTTACGCGGTTTTACAAAAAATCCGGTAGGTTTTCCAGAATCATCACTCCATTTGTTTTTAACAAGCGAGTATACCCACGATCTCGTCCCGTTTATTCTTTTTTGGAATTTATTCAAATTTGGGAAAACCTCTGCCAAAATTTTCCCTAATTCAACTACATGTAGGTCGCAGTTTTCTTTTTCAGAGCAATTGTTATTGTATTCTTGAAGAATATTTTGAAAAGTCACAAATGATTGAGTACTGTCTGCGTCTGTTCGGTAATTTATTCGAAGCTAAGCATGCAAATACAGTATATTTTTTTCTTATTTAAAGTAGCGAAGGTATGAAATGTTATTATATCTGAGAAACGTACTATATTAAGGTATATCAAATTAGTAGTATATATTTAGCTAGTATATATTTAGACTAAGCAAAAAATACGTTTTTATACGGGTTTAAATTAATATTATAGTGTTCAGTTATTTTCAAACGTCTTACCAATTTGAAACAATAGCATGTTTTTCTCTGTTGTACAACTTCGGTTTTTTATTACATTTATCGTTTATTTCTATATGGGACGCGTGTCGTTTAAAAATATATCTGTCTATTCTACAATAAAAAATATTTAAATTTCCCTCCACACCTGTTGTTCTTATTTTTAAAAAACAGAATATAATTAGCAACGGAATTTAAGTGGAATCACTTCCTGTACGTCACTTCCGTCACTAGTTGTTGCGGTGCACATGCAACGATGCAATATTGGAAGTTTCTTCCCTTTCTCAATTTTCTTTCGTCCCTCCCTCGGGTGCACATCGTTTCCCGAAGCAAACTTTGTTTGCGATTCGGGCAATGCAAGCCTGCAGTGTAGTGGGTTGCGGTTATACATGAGTTCCAAAACAAAACTTTTCGAATATGAAAATATATAAATTATACATGTGTGATGTTTTCATATCTTGAATTAAGTGGAATTAATTGATGGATGAATGCACTTAATTGCAAAAGATGATATTTAGGTAACAAGGTAAGTCATTCGATTGTTTATTCAAAGTAAAACAAAACACGATCGTTCCTCTTCCCCCCCTCCCCCCTGTGGTAACGCGAAGCCAACGTTACGGCAACGGCAACGCTAAAATGAAATATTGTCGATTAATGGTTGCTGGAAGAACAGTTACGACATGATCAATCTTAAATAACTTTAAACTTGAAGCCGGAATAAATGTTTAGCTACATCAAAGATAATTAGGATCAGTCCCAAAGTATAAAATATGGTGATTGCTAGATAGTATACTTCAAAATAAGGTTTCCGTTTTTATAACGTAGAAAAAACTATCCTACGGCAAAACTAAACCCTAACCCTAATACTAAACCTAACCCCAGCCTAACCCTAACCCTAACCTAAACCCTAACCTAACCCTATCTTATTTTAAAAATAGAATAAAAACGGAAATCTTATTTTGAAGTATACTATCTAGCAATCACCTATAAAATATGCTCTCTAAACTTACGATGAAGTGGAGAAATTTCTGCATGAGCTGTTTGTTTGCATGGCGATTTCATCGTGTAAGGAAGCCCTCTTTCCAATAATATTCGCTTATCACACAGTATAACACCAACTGATGTAATAGTTCAACTATAGTGCAAGGATAAGTTACCTCTTGAATTACGTCTTGGAAACTGTGTTGGAAATTTAAATGCTGATCCATTACATATAGATTACCGTTTTATACCTTCGTATAAACCATTTTGATCGCATGTAAGGAATTATTTCTCAGCCCAGAGACATAGCCCAAAGACTTAAGATTTAACATTAACGTCCTTGTGATCTTATAGAGATAAATTCTGAACTAAGAATATTAGAAGTAGAGCTGTGCGGTTAACGGAAAAATTCGGTTCTTCCGGTACTTTTTTCAGCACCGAAAAACTATACGCAAAAAACCGGTAGTTTCGGTTTTAATTTCCCGTTTAACGCCCACCTGATTGCAGGTTGAACTGTTTGGAAAATAACAAGATTGTGCTCTTTGTGCACAATATGCACTGTACTAAGTGCTCAAATAGTTGATATTTTAGTTGTGATAGTTATTTTTGTGAACTTGCTTTAAATTTTTTTAAAAACTAAGAAATATTACATCTTCATAAATAAATTCCAATTGTTCTTTTAAAATATTCAGAGATTTATACAAACTTACAAAGGCATAAATTAATCTATTTAGTAAAAATGCTCGAAACATACATAAATCAGTTCATACATTTGTACTGTTCTTCTTTTTTGAAAATAACCGAAACCGAACCGAACCAAGGGTTTTTTGTTCCAAAAAAAAGGAAACCGGAACCGAGGTAAAATTTTTGGAACCGCACAACTCTAATTAGAAGGAATAATCTGTACCTTCTCAAAGTTGTAGACAAGATATGTTGTTTACGTCTAACATGCATAACTCAAAATGAGTCGAACAAAACAGGTCTTTTGTTAAAAGGAAGACTACTTAATGGAAATTGGTCCTTTTGAGTGACAAAATCGTGTATCGTCATCGATCCGTGTCGTTGAAGAATGAAAAAATTTGCTGTGAAATTAGTGAAGATAAAATATGATTTTATAGCAGTTTGTTAAAAAAGGTCTTGGCTGATTATATGGAAATTAATTTTAAAAAATTCAACGAAGTTATCAGTTTATAAAATCATTGCATTATAGTATTCAAATCGAAGCCAAGACCCAAAATTTTGGCACACTCCTTAGTATATACGGAAATTACAATACCCTGGAGCCAGAGGGTATTTATTTTCGCCTGTTTTGAATAACCCTCTGGTGAAATTGGCGGGGGGTTTCGGGTTCATTCCACACATAAATTTCAAAATTGGAAGGAAAGAGTTGATTGGCTACTGACTATAGGTTCGATATACTACGTGTTCTGATTGGATATTGTAAACATCATAGCCTGTTCGCAGGTGTTTGGTGTTTTGATTGAATTGAAACATTTGAATTTTGAAATGTCTATATTATTAAATAAACGAATAAAAGTTGAAAGAAGCAGTTTTATAGGCTGCATTAATAGATAGATTGATAAATTTCCTGAATAAAAAGTTTAACGGAGCATCAATACCGCGCCTTGCCCAATTTGATTCACCTTAAAGATGTATTTGCATCTTGCTATCGGTTATGGGAAGAGTTTAATATTCTAAAGTTCTAGCACCGAGAGTAGCACGACGACTTGGCAAACGCCACAATTTTCTGTCTTAATAGTCATTTGCAAATTGAACTCTTTCATTGATTCTCACGTCCGTGGACTAAGAAAGCGTGGATGCCGTGCTGACTTCACTGTCAAACGATGAGGACGAGAAAGCAACACTAGATGGAGAGTTCGAAATGCGAAATTCGAAATGGAAGATTCGAAATGCGAAATGAAGAGAAATGATTTCATTTGAAATCTACAAGACAAATTTGCTTGCTTTTGTAACAGACGAAGTTCACGTCGTCCCAAAGTGGTGTGTTTAATAAATTTAAATATAGATTTTTTTGAATGTATGTTGCAGGATTAAATTGAATGTATATTGCAAGATTAAAGTGAATGAATATAAATATATATTTATATTAATTTGAATAGATGTGATGTTTTAAATTGAATGAAATTCAGGAGAATGAATATTGCTACAAATGGGCAGGCATACACTGGACAGTATATACATGCGATATTTTTAAATAAAACACTGTCTAGACGGCCTGGCGTCAAGGATAATGATTGGATAATATTTTTAGAATATGATGCATTAATCCATTATACATTTTTTGCATTCCTTATCCGAACCAGGAATCGCTAACAAATTCACCAGAGGTTTTTCCTTTTTCTTCGTGCGTTTTCTCGCATTTCGCGTTCGCCAAACCTAAAAAAACCTCTGGGCCAGGGTGAAATTACAAGGGAAATGTTTGACAAAACAATAGGAGTAAATACGGGAAAAGTATTTGCTATAAGGAAACGGCTGAAGCTATAAGGCAAGGGATTTCAGCGCTTTTTGTACCTGCGAAGCAGATATATATGCTATCGCAAACGTACCGTACCGTATGTTAACAGATAGCCATTTAGCGACGAGCTTATATAATTTAAGGCAATTTAAGCCAATCAGCGATCAGGTTACATCAATTGTTTACGTAGTGCCCGCATCTAACCTGCGAACGGACATACTTTGGCCTCGTGTAATCGTGTTATTCTTTCAAAAATATCTTGATATTTTTATCAATTTTATCAATTTATCAGTTGAATTGGCTATCTTGTTTTTTCGCTATTCTACTTGCGATATTATTCCGAAGTTATCTATCAACATGGAATCTTATCCTTATCTGGTAAGTAGTCAAATACCACATATGATAGATTTAAATACCAAATTTGTGCAAATATATATCCCACATATTTTATAATACATGAGTTCGGCAAATTATTATAAGTAATATCATGAAATGAGGAGTATTAGTCATTAAACCACCCGCTCGACGAGGGTCATTTATTAAAATTCCCGAGGGCCGTAGGCCCGAGGGAATTTTAATAAATGACCCGAGTCGAGCGGGTGGTTTAATGGCTAATACTCCTCATTTCATGATATTACTTTGTAATATTATTTTTGCGTGAATTTCACCCAAATCAGTGTTCAGACACTGTCAATGATGTCGGCGGAGCGTTATAGTATATCATAATTTTGTGATAATTTTGCTCAAACTTTCCAGGTGATGTGGTAATACTAATACGACC